GAAGATCTGATTCAGAGTATAAAGTTTGAGAGTTGCGTTGTTGAGTCATTACGTGTTATAGTGTTGACGTTAACGCGTCGGAGCAAAGTGGCCGACTCGCTTGGGTGGCCGACTCGCTTGTGAACCACGTTAAGCGGAGGCTATAGTTTAAAAATTTTAGTCTGATACAATTAGAGTAGTGAACATATGATCATCCAACTGACAGTGATACAAGCTAGATGATATAGATGGTAATTATGACTTTAGCCAGGTAGACCTCTCCCGCACTACTGCTACTATCCATTTCTCAGATACTTACTTCAATTATCTTCCAGCATTGTTTTCTGCGCCTTTTGTTCATTTTAATGACAAGTCAAGTTATGCTAGCTGTGATTATCTTAGTACTGAAAGATACAAATATCAAAAAAATTAAGCAGCTGAAGATAAATATTTAGTGAATGATTCTTCCATGTGCTCCAAGTCGCTATTTGGTTGAGTTTGATGACAGATTCTACTAGAGCAACCACGCCTGAGTCCTTTGTTTTATGAGATCTGTGCATATAATGAACGAGTGTAGAGTGTGTAGTGAATACAGGTTCTACTATGGTGAGCGGGTAGATGTACGGCGTTGCCCCTAGGATCTCCATGGGCGAGGAGCGTAGTCTCGTAGGAGAAAGAGGGCATAGTATAGAATAAAACCTGAAAGATTACATGTCGCTCTACTCTACTCTGAAGATCCTGTCGTATAGTCCTCAGAATGGTTCATACTGTCAGCACAAGGGTCACACGTGACCCTGTGCACCGGCACAACAAGAACCACAAGAATTAATGGAAACAGAAAACATTGATATTTATAGCCGAAAGACTTCGAAGGTCTGTAACAAGGCGATAAACCCTTGCGCACATTATTATGATTGTCACTGTATGTCCCAAAAAGGTCTTCGTATAGAGGATCTCTCAGCCTCTAAAATAAATGAATATCGTTCCAGATAGCTCGCTCATTCATGTTTTCCGCTTGTTGCAAATGAGGCGAATGTCAGGATGTGTGATCCATTCGTCAGGGTTTACCGTAAAGTCCTTAGTAGCATCTTCCGGTCTGAACTGCAACTGCCAGTCTCTAATGATGCTAGCAACTATGCTCCGAAGCATACGGTCGGCAGCAAATTTGCCCATGCATTGCCGTGGACCAAATCCAAAACGCCACACATTGTATCGCAACTAAATGATGGAAATCAGTAGCCGGTATTCCCTTTGGGAGTTAGTATAACATTCACGCTTCGTACAGTGGTCTATTGACTTACCCGCTGCTGCGTCGGCTACCGATCAAGGTTAGGTACTGCATCAATCTCCCTGGATGGAGCGCGTATGGAGACCGCAAGGCGACTAATTATTATCATAATGTCAGGATAATAAAGTCGACCATTGTGAGATCTTTTCCAGAGGGCTGTCAGGCTTCATCCGGTGTCTTTCGTATTAAGCCTCTAGTTACACAGACACAAATGGCTCGCACATTGCTCACATACACAATGACAACCATATTGAAACTTCTCAACACCAAACTCGAAGACGTGCTTCGCTCACTCAAGTCCCAGGGTGTAAGTCAGGAACTGCAGAAAGGATTGCATAATCATAGCAAGGGCTGAAGAAGTTGGCGACCAAATCCATCGATCAAACTGAAAATAGCCGACCATCTCGAGAAGTCTGGATCAATGGACATTGTATCTCTTGGGAAAGCGTGCTCAGCGCGCGCCCATCGTCTCGCTCAGGTGCTTCGAGTCGTTGTCAGGAACGTCATATTTGCCTATGACAAAACGAGCAAAACATACACAAACAACGCCACGTCAAGGATTTTGCTGTCGGATCATTGAACAAGATGGCATAGCTGGACCACGCTCTATGGGACACAATTCTATGACATGGCACGTGGAATTCCGTCGTTACTGAGCCAAGATGCAGTTTGGTCGGCTGCTCAGATTAACTATGACATTGACGTCAGCATGTTTGAGTACTTCCGCAGCCAAGGATGGGTGCCACAGCTGCACGCGTCACTTGGAGCAGGTGCGGCAGCCCAAGCACCGGGCATTCTAGCCGACTATCCATGGAGCGAGATTGAGAAGGAGACGATCATTGACATTAGAGGTAGAGGTGGCGGCTTCATCGCCATGCTCTTGCGTGCGCACAAATCTCTCAAGGGCGGCATTTTCGACCTCCTACACGTCATTGAGTATGCGAAGCCGCTATTCCATTCGGCTGACGGCCAATTTACAGATGCAGCTGTGCAGGTGTCTGTTGAAAACCTCATTGGTGACGATTTCTTTGACAGCATCCCGCCTTGCAATGTGTATACGATGAAGTGGACGCTATATGATTGGCGTGATGAGGATGCTAGGCGCATTTTAAGCAACATCGAAAAGGCTATTATACCAGGCGAGAACAGCAGACTGACTATCTTGGAGGAGATGCTGGACACGACAAGGAGTGCGAGGTTGTCCCGCTACGGTGCCATGAACATGATGATGACAGCAGATGGTGTAGAGCCGACAAAGGACGAGTGAATTGCATTGGCGGATAATGGTGAGTGGTCTATTACCAAGATCCACCCACTGAGGAATATGTGGCATTGTGCATTTGACCTTGCTCCCAAAGCTTGGTCTAACAAATCACAGAGTGGTTTATGGGTGGATAAGAAAGCATATAAAATTGCTCGGACAATGCAGGAAAGCGTATATGTATAGTAGGTAGGAAATGCTTTCGGGGCATGCGAATTTAAGTTAGGTTTGGTACTATGAAAATTCGTATGTCAATCATATCGGTTTCCGGAACGCAGAATTGCAGCACTTTGAGTAACCACAAATTGGTGTGCTTGGCTGATCGCTTCGCCATAGTGATATCGAAGAGAGTGTCAAGGTTCAAGGAGACTCTTCTGCTCATACGGCCAGTAACTTGAAGACCCTACATGCCAGCTATTATTGCGCTATTTAATAGCTATACTTAGACGACATCGTGCATTTTAAGATAGTTCCTAGCCGGATCGGCACGGTGTCCCGTTGGTGGCGTTGGTGTTGGTGGGGCGAAGGAGCGTACCGAGACTGCAATTTCAAATATTCAACCCAGCTCTTATGTTCAAATGGCCAATAGTAGTATGAGATGGCATACACGGTTCAGTCGGTCTCCGAAGACGGGGCACAGACTGTAACAGTTATAAAAGCAAATTTCCAGATAGCGACGGAGGGCCTTATTCCACAAGTCCATTTGATCCACAATACACGGGATGCTGTGCAAGAAAAATACACCATGTCTGCAATCGTATTTTGCCCGGCCAGTCAACTTTTTTTTTGGACCCATAAATCCCCAGAACAAGGAGAATTAAGCCAACCACAGTGTCTGTTAAGATTGTCACCTAGATCGTAGACCTAAAAAATGAACTTTAGTATTGCTAAGGACGCTTTTGGTTGGCGTAGAGCTCCTTTGCCACCTTATCTTTATTGGTAGCGTAAAATACGTTTGCAGACATGGTGTAGAAAACATGAACCGATTGCACCTCTTTAATGAGCACACCCCACACTAGTCACACCCAACAGTGATCATCTTGACTTCTTGCGCGTCCTTTTTGATACTTTTTCGTTGCTTCGTTTGTTCACAATGTTTGATTCAACGTCAGCAGAACGCACCTTCATTCTCTCATCGATTGCAAAGGCCTTGGGCGTACCGGCGGAAAGCATCGACACATCAAAATGTTTCATTGGGCTCGGAGGCCATTCACTGTCGGCGGTCGAGGTGCAACACGCATGCAAGGCCGTGGTGTCCAAACCTCCAACAGTTTTTACGCTACTCACATCACCTTCTATCGAAGCGCTGCTGCCAGGTGATGGTCCGCGCACAAGGGAGGCCCCTGCCAAGCCCGAGCTTATTTCCAGTTCAACAGTGACCGAATATTCACAACCATCAACAACACCGTCGTCATTATCATCTCTGTCACAGTCGCCATCTCGTTCGCTGTCTGGCTGTTCTAGTGTCCCAGACGGCGAGAATGTAGAGGATGCTTTGCCATCAGAGCAATCAGGGATCAAACCACTATCAGTCTCGAATGAAGAGTCAGCCCCGGCAACTGGTCTGCAAGCAGCGTTCATCCATAGCGGGCAAAGCACAATACACTATTTTGAAACATGGAGCCTCGAAGATCTTCCCTTCATAACGTATGCCTGGAAGAGGGTGCTAGCTATGGAACCAATGTTCTCTACTAGGTTTGAAGAGGCGGGCCAGGGGAGATATGTCATGCGCAAACGCAAGTTTGAGTGCCCATGGACACAAGTAGTAACTTTTGATCGTACGACATACGAAGAAGAACTGGCGCGAAGAGAGGGACAGGTACAGCCGACGTTTGTATTCAAAACCGTCGTGTTTAAAGGAGTCGGTAGCAAGAGCAGCAGCGGCAGACGTCGTGAGAGTGAAGCTACCATTATGATATCTATCCATCATGCTCTATTGGATGGGTTTGCCATGGAACGTCTCGCGGTCAAGGTGCGGAGGGTAGCAGCGGGAGAAGTGGGAGTTGGGGCAGGAAAATCGTTCTTGACGGCGGCCAAAGAGATCGAAGCACTGGCCAAGGAACAGAGCGAAGCTGCGACTCGGTATTGGCAAAGTTGTGTACGAGAGCACACAGGGGCAGCTACAGAGACTGGTTTGCAGAGACCGAAGGGACAAGTAGAAGCAGCAGCGGCAGCAACGAAATGGCCAACCATCCAAGGAAAGAAGCGCAACGAAGTCAACGTCAATTTTGAGCACTTGAGTGAGCTGCTACGGGAGAAGTCCAGGGAGCTAGGCGTCACTGTGGCGGCCTTCTTCCATGCAGCATGGGCGGTCGTGCAAGCCACGTATGCAGATGTCAGTCAGGTCAAGTTTGGAACCATTATGAGTGGGCGAAACCTGCCCATCGACGGCATCGACACCGTCATTGGCCCTATTCTTAACTCACTGCCATTCTACGCAAATGTTGACGAGGCTATAATGACGGACGAGTTTGTACAGAACGTCTTCAACGGTTTGGTAGAACTCTCGTGCTATCAATGGAGTGCACCCGAGCACGGCTTGAATCGCGACTTCGAGGCGGCCCTGTCCGTCACACGGGGCATCGACAGGGCGGCTGCTGGCGAGGAAATGCAGCCACTTCGACCCGTGCAGTACGACTTTGAGAGTAGCATTCCACTCAGCCTAGCGCTCGATGAGGCAATGATGAGCCTACGTGTGGTCTACCATGCAGATCGATATGCGGCAACGGCCGTTGAGGACATGGCCATGTGCTTTGCTACGGCATTGGAGCGGCTTGCGCACTCAACGCCCATGCATGCGTGCAAGTCAGCGCTAGTAACAGTGCCCATGCAGATGCGGCTGCGAGTCTTGGGAAACTGCATATCTGGATCGACGACACGGGCTGCGCATATGCACGAGGATCTGGTATCTATGCTGGACGCGGCCGCGCGCACGCACGCAGAGGCGGTGGCAGTCGAGGTTGGCAACCGACGCATCACGTACGCTGAGCTGCATCGGCTCACGGCTCGCACCGCCACGGCCTTGGGCGAGGCTGGGGTCAAGGCTGGCGAGGTTGTGTGTGTGCATGCGGATGGGAGTTTGGAATGGATCGTGGGCTTGCTCGGCGCACTGCAAGCCGACGCTGTCTTTTGCAGCTTGGATGCCACTCTCCCCCACGAGCTTCGCCGCGACATGTTCGGGACGGCCGGCGGCCGTGTCTTTGTCGTTGGTCATGAGTGGCAGAGAGAGTTGATGCCAGACGGGTGTGCCCACTTGGTGTGCCAGCAATTGCTCCCTGCTGTCGCAGCTGCTCCCCACCATGCAGACGACGGCGACGGAGAGGGCGACGGAGAACTCAAGTACATGAACAAGCACACTCCCCAGCCGCTAGCCCCCGCGTACCTTTGCTTCACCTCTGGTTCCACTGGCCGTCCCAAGGGCGTCGTGTGCACCCACCAGGCCCTGATCGCCTTCCAGGCTGACGTCGAGGTACGCCTTCACGCGAACCCGGGCGTCCGAATCGCCCAATTCATGTCGCCCGCCTTCGACGGAAGCATCCATGAGATCTTCTCTACCCTCTGCTATGGGGCAACGCTCGTCCTGCGCGACCCGGCCACGTTGGCTGATCCCTTCGACGTCCTGCGCCGAGTCAGTAGCGCCATCATGACGCCCTCGGTCGCCCGTTGCCTATCGCCTGCAGATTTTGCCAACCTCGAGACTGTTTACCTGGTCGGAGAGCAAGTCCCCCACCCTGTTGTCGACAAGTGGGCCACTGGCGGCCGCAAGCTATACAACATGTACGGTCCCACCGAGGGTACGGGTGGCGCAACCATAACTCGGCTACGCCCCACACAACCCGTCACCATTGGCCACCCTAATCCAACGTCGCGCCTCTACATCCTGGGACGCAACGGCTGCTTACTCCCACCGGGCGCCGTTGGCGAAATCTACATTGCTGGAGTGCAGATTGCCCTAGGCTATGCCAGCATGCCTGATCACACGGCTGCCTGCTTCGTGCCGGACACGATATGTCCCGGTCTGGGCGAAACCATGTATCAGACTGGCGACTACGGCTATTGGGATCACAACGGTCATATCGTCTGCCTTGGTCGGAGAGACCGCCAGCTCAAGCTGCGCGGCTTCAGGCTCGATCTGGACGATCTTGAGACCCGCATTCTCAAGGCGCTGCCGCATGTCAAAGCCGTCGCGCTTACAAGGTCTCAAAAAGGAGATAGCCTCGTTGCTGTAATTCAGCCGGCTACCTTGTCCCAAGATGAAGTCAGGAATGCCATGTTGCAGATCCTGCCCAAGCCAGCCGTGCCCTCTGCTATTGCTTGCGTTGACGCCTTCCCTCTGACCCGTGTTGGCAAAGTCGATTCGCAGGCAATCGCAGCTAGTTTCCCAGCCCATTAAATCATGGACCCCTTCCTCTCCAAAAAATGCATCTGTCATTTTTATTTAATTGAAAAGCGATTGATTCAAGTACAAGGAGTTACTATTAGTTAAGCAATCTTTAATTCATCATCTTGTTCTCTACGTATGCATCATTCGTGTTTTCCATTATTCTTTCATATTACACATCCAGCTTTTGTTTTTTAATCGAACGCCTGGAAACTACCCATACTATGTAGCTGCCGCTCGAAATTAACCTACTTTTGACGTGACTCCCCTTTCCAATCCAACCGTCATGCGCGCGCACGCAGCCGCATCTCGTCCTTTGCCAAAATTGCTGATCAATGGCAATTTATCCTGCTCATACGCGGACGTGCTGCCGCCACCGCTGTTGTTATTACCACAACCCCCTATCCATCCACAGCGTGCCCATACCTAAAGACATACTCAGTTCGTCCATGGCTTGGCACAGTACCAGTGTCGACGACATGCGTCGGCTGCACAGCCCGCAGGACAGAACTATGGAACAATGGTCCAGCAGCACTCGCGAGTGCTGCACTGCGCTGGCCAGAAAGCCTTCCTCACCAGGTTCACTGTTTATCGCCGCTGCAAGCGTGTTGCTATCCGCTGTCTCGCCGAGATGTTGTAGTAGCGTTGGTGCGCGTTGGCATGATGCCAGGATCATGTTGGGAGCTGCTAGGATAGCAGTAGTCATGGTTACAGGGATACTATTACTAGGATTGGTGGTAGTAGTTGTAGCAGCAATCGTCGTGGTGGTGTTATCAGCTTCAGATATCCCCAGTGCAAAGGGCGAGTCGAGTGGGAGGTTCGCCATGCCGTCTGCGAGAGTGTTGACGAGGCTGCCAAAATCAATGGCTTGGTGGCTGTCTAGCTGGGTATCCAGGTCAACGTCGGAAAGAAAGAAAGCTGATAAATGCGCCCTGTCTATATGGGTGAATAAGTCCGTGTTCTGGTTTGATGACAGGTCGACATCATCGTGTGCTTCCTTTGTCTAATCAGCCTGTAGCCTCGCTAGTCGAAATCATGAAGGGAAAACTGCGAGTACATCCTCGAAGCAAAATTAGGTATCGCCAGCAAATAGATGACGATATAAGTTTTCCCCAAGTTTACGGAGATAGTGATACCCTACCTCTCCTCCCACCCGCAAGACCCCCTACTACCTTTCCCCACACTAGGCTACGAGCCTCACCTGTATTTAGATGACCCCCTCCCCTACCTACACCAAATTGATAGCACTACGTAGTTACCTGTAGGCCTAGCCTACACGTCTTATATAGCCCACCGGNCTACACGTCTTATATAGCCCACCGGCTGACACAGGACGTTAAACTAGAATAATAATAATAATAATAATACGGAGATAGTGAATCGCATTACGTCTCGTATCTTGCTAGGCAAGGAACTTGCCTGCGACAAAGACTTTATTCGGGAGTCACAGCTGTTCAAACAAGCTCTCTTTGTTAGTTCCATTATGATTAACAGCATCGCGCTAGGGCCTTTCAGAAACCCGGTGGCATGACTGACAACCTCATGGTCGATCTATCGCACATCTCGGTCGCGACACAACGCGACGCCTTCAGCGTGTCGTGGATGTTGCTGACCATATCATCTACCTGGGCAATTTGATCGGCTTTAAGCACGTCGGCATCGGCACCGATTTCGACGGAATGGGCTTCGATAAGGGCCCGGTCGGGCTTGAAGATGTTGGCACCTATCCAGCGCTCGTTGCGGAGCTGCTGCGTCGAGGGGTGTTGGTTAGCGACATGAGAGGCGTTTACTACTCTACATTTACCTTATCAGACGAATAACTCTAGCAAAGCCGGGACGGAAATAAGTAATCCGGTCCTAGCACAGAGCGGCACGGGCCTCTATTACGGTGTCTTTAAATGTGTAGGAAGGATCGCTTTTTTTTATTACTCCGCCTCCGCTTTCGCCTCGGCGGCCTTTCTGAAAACTCGATCACGCCTATCAACACTCACTCCCACGCACACACTTGCAAAGGCCACTCTCTGTCTCTAGATTTCCCACAATCATGGACAATGTGTCAGAATTTCTCGCCCACCTCTACGAGTTCCCTGAGGGTGAGTTCATGGGTCCGGAAGTGGACCAAGAACAGTTCTTGGTCCATTGGGGTTACACGATTTACAGAACATATTATGGTCCTGCGTCTGATGAAAAGTGGGCAAAGCTGCTTAAAAACATCATCAATGGCGTGGAAAACAGTCTTAACGAGCTAGAAAGGTTGGCCATTGCACTACGGCCGCGCTTCCAGATCACACGTGCCTCCCTTTGATCGAGAAGCACCTCCCTGCAACCAGTATTAATAACCTATCGAAAGAGGTCCGCCGATATTCGTTGTCAATCCCGTCAAATGCGCTTCCCAGCCCAGCGAAAATGTGTGTCTCGCCTCGAACAACGACACACGTCTCGCATCACGCGTTGCCCTTGACAATCGGTTTGCCCCCAATGGCATCATTGGCGCTCAAGATGGAACAGACGTTTAATGTGTTAGATGTGAAGGATGAATTTGATGATAGTTGTGCCTCTAGGGTAGCTAGGCCTAGCTACCGAATACTTCACCTATATACCCTAGCGGCTTTGTGTCACCGATTTTACCTTGGTAGTGTTTGTGTCGGCATCGTAAAAACGGTATCCATCAAATTACAGTGGGTGTTAGTAGTAATCTCCATCTCGTTGGATATCCAGAGTAGGAAACCCGATGAGTGTACCAGCTTTGATCACTTCGTCATTCGACAGAGGGATGTCCACATCGGCCTTTCGTTGTAACTTAGTTTTGGGAAGTGGTCAACAAGATGTCACTATCCAACTTCATGCCCCCAGGAATTGACTTACGCGCAGTAGGAAGACTTAACCTCAACGTCTCTCGCAAGAAACTCTCTGATTTTGGCATTCTCGCACAAGCGTCTTTGTTCCAGACTCCATGTTCGCGAATTGCATTTTCAATCTCTTCCCTAAGTGGCTCAAGATAGTCTGGATATTCGAGAGCAGAAAGGATAAGCTGACATACGACCATGGAGAACAGACCTGCAGTTGCGAACGTGAGGAACAATTCCTGGTTAACAATTCGAGCGTATCCAACAAGGCCTATTGGCCCACAGGACTAGGAGGCGATGCAGCAGATCACTGCTCAGTGCTACATCCAAGCTGATTGCAATATGAACAAGTTTCAGACTACAATGCTCCGTGATCATCATTTGATTGCAATGCAAGTACTGTCTTCTGTTTGCTTTTCCCCATCTACATGTATCCCTACCTAATGAAATGTAAAGCCACCGCTGACATCGAGAATCTGGCCACTGATAAAAGACGCCTCAGGGCTGGAAAGAGAGCAAATAGCATGGGCTGAGTCTTCTGGTTGTCCTCGACGTTTGACGCATTAATGGTCAATGTGATAGTCCCACATAGACTGTCTAACAGAATCTCGCGTACTTTAAACCCCTTCTACCTCTGGGAAAAGACGTGCTATTGTGTGGGCATACCTGGAACGCCAACAGCAAAACCTACTATCACATCGCAATCATCGACCCAGCGTCCCACTACGACAAGGTCGCCAAAACCGTCACCGACTCAAGAGGACTTAATTATAAGCTGTACCGCCTGTTACTTTGCAGTCAGAGGTGGTACTTGGGCTAAAATCGTAAGCAAATACGGCACGCAAGAAGTTTTTCTTTCGGGGTCGATAGCTTGCTATACTTGCATTAGGGAGACAGCCATTGTGCTAGAGATTGCACGCAAGGTTTTTGCTAAACAAGGTGCCTCGCCTACCGATCCTAATGATCTGCATCGTCTCCCGTTCCACCATGTTCGAGCTGTCGGCGTTTGAATGGGGGGCTTCTTTACGGCGACCTGGAATTTACAACTCTGTGTTATATGTCCGATTGAAGGATGCTTCTTCCCCAACCAATATCCGATATGCAACTCTTGCATATTGCTCGGCCTGTTTTGACTTCTCCCATATCCCCAATTGCTCGAAAGCTGACTGCCCATGTAGAAAGACCTCTAACATATGGTCCACGATATGAACCCATTTGTGAATAACCAAAGCTGAACGAGTTTGATCAAGCCCAGTGACGATGAAGCCTTGAGTATGGAGAGTTTTTGCAACCGACTCTAACACCTTCGTGAGATCACGCTTTTCCATGTAGACCCGCGTCAGCAATAGCTGTGGATCCAACAGCAAAAGTCGAGGAACCTCCTCCGCCGGACGCTTGTATGTCTCGTTCAGCGCCATGATTAAGCGTTCCAGTTTGGTCGGAACATTGTGCGCTGTTAAGCCAGCTTTGCAGAGACGGTCCAGCTGATCCAGCAAGCTCCTTCTCTTTGCCACTTCCGACGGTTTGGTGGTTTTAATATCCTCGCAAAGCGCGCACCTGCAAATGAATCCCCAGCTCTTGAACTTTTGCTCAACTTCGGGAATATAATCACCCCTTGGAGCTTCATAGGGAAAGGCTAGCTCTACACCAGCCTCCAGGTTCTTGCATGCGCGCACTATCATCATATCTCCAATGAAAGAGCGACGCACATTGCCGAGGCAACTATGATTGATATATGAGGCTTTGATCCAGATGCCACACGAATCAAATGCGGAATCTCTTTTCGAGAGCTTGCTAGACATGACATCGCTGTGACTTTTCAGGGATGTAACAGGGCAGCCAAAGACATTGAGGGCCATTGTTCGTTCGACGAGAAAGCTGGAGGGTAAAACATTAGTTTATCAAGTCGGCTGGCTCATCATTACAGGTGCTACTCACGTGTCTACTACCGGTTGTCCATCAACAAACATCTTGTCGACCGCCTTGTAATCGCCATGATGCAATTCAGTGAAAGCCGCAGCCATAGAAGGGCTTTTGTACAGCTTCTGCGTGATCAACTGAATGAGATGTGCTTGACCGCCCATAAAAGCTCTTTCTGTCTCCACATTCATCAAAAGAGTCACCTTTGCATTGCCTTTCCCCGGTTCGTCGACGTGAGCATGACAGAAAGCTTTTTCACACAGTACTAGATCCCCTGCTTTCATAGATGCGGTTGTGAATAAGCCGCGACCTTTTCCTTTGGCTTTCTTAACCGTTACTGGTCCAATATAAGTGCCGTGGTCCAGATGTGGGGGAATACGCTTCCTTGCTTCCGCTTGGAGAAGCCTGAAGTCAAACTCTCCGGTGCTGCTCTCACGGACTCGATTGCGTGCACGGGTATGTGCAGCGACTGCTTCTTTGTTGTTCGGAAAGAGTCTGCAGAGTTTCTCGAGCACGCTGCAACATTCTTCATAACGAGTGAGGTGGTATAGAGCTTCCGCTGCTCGAAACAATGCTTTCTCCGAGGCTTCCACGCCAAAGTCTGGGAATCCAGTATCAGACAACGCGGCGTCATATTGCCTGGTCTTTAGATATGCTAAAGATCTATTTCGTTTGATCACTTGAATCTCGTCAGGTGTTGCGGGATGCGCTAAAGCATCTGAGTACCTGCTCCATACGTTAGCGCGATTACTTTCTCATCAATCAGCTTGCTCACTTGTCGATAGCCCTCCAATACTCTCCTTTCCCTACAAATCCATTCCCTTCAAGCTTCAGAGAGTCCGCGGATCTTCCCGACTTGAACAGTCCTTGTCGCCATGATGGTGGTATCCTGGAATCGTTGTTGCCAAGGAAAATGATATCAGAAAGATGATCCACTCGTAAACTGTAGTCTCCAGAAGCCGTAATTTTGAAGAAAGGCCCCTTAATCAGAAGAACTGAACCTTTGTCAACAACAGTAGATGCTGGACGGTTGGCCTCATCTTCCTGCTGGTACAGTTGCAATAGCGTGACGTCCCCGTGTTCGTCTTCAACCAGAACAAGAATCGCAGTCATACGGTTCGGAGGGGTGATGGCTCGTAATATGAGATAGCAGCCACGATGATGCGTCTCGAGCCTGAGACCTTCAATCGCGATAGGTTTCAAATCGCCGAGAGATGTGGTACAAGGTGGATATGCTGGTGGAACAAACGACGAATGTATCGTTTGGGTGTCTTCGCTTCCAGCGCGTTGTGTATTGGCCACTGACGCCATTGTGAACTCGAACAACATGATGTCCCTGCCCTTACGATCGCGGGGATACTGACCCTGCTTCTTCTTAGCATCTTGTAGGACACGCTTTTGCTGTTGCATAATCTGCGTGTACTCATCGAGATCTTTGCGAACGTCCATTGCTGCGGAAGGTGGGTTATAGTAGAGGTAGCAATGCGATAGTTTTAGAGATAGGAAGGTCTTTCAATCCGGATGGCTAGTTGTCTAAGGTGCCCGTCTTAACTCTCGCACTCGTATATACCCCAGGAATCTTCGTTGGCTAAGAGGGAAACACGTACACTTGTACCACGCCGCGTATGCGCATGAACAAACGAGGCTAGTTGCAATAACAACCAAAGGCATTGGCCCGCTATGCAAGTTGCATGATCGGCCCAGGATCCTTGAATGCAGTTTGATTCGGCATGTTTGATTCAACAGTTACGTCTTTCAGCGCTGCTGCCTTCTTGGCCCTTCACTTGATGGTGCATACGTTTACGATGATCATCATGCCAAGCTTTCCTTCCAAGTCAATTAACATATATGCAGGAATTCAACTAGCCTGCAACCTTAGTGCAGCTCTTACAGGTCTTTGTAACTTTATCTATATAAATAGCTTTTAGACTCGTATAGTAATTAAGTACTAACACTCTTTTAAATGTACTCTTCTAAGCCTAGAAGTCCTTCAGCTTCAAGGTTAACCTTTTTTACTCAACCTAGAATAACTACTCGTACTAAATCTACTATCTATTATGCTTTGTATTTATAGCTAGTTAGTAGTTTTATAGCTATAGATTTAATTATACTATTACCTAAGGTATCCTTAATACTACTGGATAGAGTCACGCGATAACTTCTTTCTAGGCGCTTAAGGTGATATCCTATTTATTATTAGGATATAGTCCTAGACCCTGATGGTGTATAGGGCTGGACTAGAGATATGTCGATGATCCTAGAGGCCAACGCGTATTTGAAAGCCCAGCAAGACCTACGGCTCTCGAGATAGTGAATTTCGCAAAATTTCGCTGCTGGGCATCCTTTACGCAAAGGTTGTATTGAGTCTTTTTTTCGGTCTTTCAAAGTGCGGATAGAAGGATATTTATTGGTTTCTAATAGTTGGGTACTGGTAGGAACGGGTGGCTTACGACACAGATTGGGGTAGAGCTCTATCAATTTACCAGCCTACACTAGATATCTTCATGCACGACGAATCTCCCACTGCACATTTGTGATGCTGACCTCTTCGCCGGCTTTCTCATCATAATCGTACCATTCCCCATCAGGTAGCTCTATGCCAGAAAACTTGGTGCCGGATTCAATACCCGTGGCAAGGAATTCGCCTTCAGCTTTGAATTCAGTGAACTCCAACCCTCTGCAGTCGAACTCGAGTATGTTAATCATCTTGGGTGGATCACTCTGCGGGTACGATGCGGGTGCAGCTTTGACGTTTGCCGAATGCTCCCTCTGTTGAAAGCATCAGCAGTGCGGTATGATAGAATCAGCATGTGAGTAGAGCAACCTTGCAGTTCTTGCATTTCCATACGAAGTTTGCCTCGCCTTTACTGCCGCTTTGCTCGTTCATCTCAAAGCGGTTGACTGTTACAAAATTGGGGTGGATCTCGCGACATGACGTGCATTGAACTTTGAAGGTATAGAAAAAAGGTGCTTCTTCGGTGTCGTTGGGGCGGAGGTCTGTTACCCTGGGATGAGTTCAGTACGTAGAGTGTTTTGTCAAATTGTGATGGGGTGGAAGGTTTACCCATTGAGTTCTGCTTTCAATGCTAGTGCGAGCACCATGTTGAGTATGATGGCGACGTTCTAGACGTGTGATGTTGCAACCTGCGACGATGACTTCGCGATTCCTCGACGCAGACGCGCCCCGCCCCGCCCCCACTACGACTTAGTTCCTGGGCCAGTCCAAAATAGGCATAGAGCCGATACCGTGCATTTCACTATCTTAACAATCTTTCCTGACCAAATATCCCTGACAGACAATCGCCAACTCCTGAGACTCGTACTTCAGTAAGGGAACAACGCACTCGACGATTGGCTCTCGAGACGATTCACGCGTCTGGCACTTCTTATCCGCCTTCTGTTTATCGACAGTTGTCACTTTGATCGCTGGACTTCTACTACCTCATTGTCTTTTTCGACAAAACCGTCTACAAGCAATCTACTTTAGACATACCAGCATTCTCCATCAACTTGGTCTCTGGCAGTATTCAAATTTTCATCAACAGTCTCCGCATTACTGCACTTTGGACAGCAACAACGCCTTCCCCAAAACCCTGACCGCCTTTTGATAACTCGACGCCCTCACCATGGTCAAATTCTATCCCTCCCTCACGCAGGAACATATCGACTTCATCACGAAACAGCCTCTCTTCTTTGTCGCCAGCGCGCCATGGGCTGGTGAGCACGTCAACATATCACCCAAAGGACATCCCTCAAAATCGTTTGCCGTTCTAGGACCCAACACAGTAGCCTACCTCGACGCTACAGGCAGTGGCTGCGAGACCATTTCACATATATACGAAAATGGCCGTGTGACGCTCATGTTTTCCTCGTTTGGCCCTTCACCACAGGTCATGCGGCTGTTCTGTAAGGGCAAAGTGGTGGAGAAGTGGGATCAGTACTTTAGCCAAATCCGAGCAAAGATGTCGACGGAAAATGGAGATGATGTCGACATCGCCGGTGTAAGAGCGGTGATTGTGCTCAAGATTCAAAAAGTGCAGACGAGCTGTGGTTTCGGAGTGCCGCAAATCGCCAGTGCAAAGACTGATGGCACAGATGCTGTCGGCGACGCTGTTGCTTTTGCCGATCATGAGCCTGGCACGCATGATGATCATGGCTTCAAGCCTCGGGATACAATGGAAGGCTGGGCTCGCAAGATGATAGAGAAGCAAGAACTGGGTGACTATCAAAAGCAGTTCAACCATCGATCTCTGGACGGCCTTCCTGGGCTGATGAGCGTGCGGCGGGCATACGATGAAAACATTGCTGTCGAAGACACAAAGGCGTGGCTCAGGAAAGTCAGCAGGCAGGGGGATGCTGTGGCTTTGGGTGTTGGCCTGGGTGTCTTGCTTATGATTTTGCTAAGTCTGATTGGCATCTTGAGCATCAAGCCCATATTTCTCCAGCGGATACTGAATTTCCAGCAAAGGAAGATGGGTGTACCAGAGGATCACTCTTGGAAGAGCGAGCTTTGAGGTGGTCTATGCAAAGCTATTTTGTAATAATACCACTTTGTCTGGTTTTCAACGTTGCTTTATCCAAAAAAAAATGTTTTTAATGCCAGCCACATGAGTAGAAATAATTCCTTGCAATACAGTGAAGCCTGAGAATGAGATAGTGTAGATACATACAGGTATGCATGACCTCATCGGCGCTAGCATCTCACCGCCTGGCAGTATTGTTCAAGCCTCGGTCGAGGCGGGATCAACGTTGGTGGCGGTACTCCAACACGCACGCGGCAGCATCTCAGGCGAAATCCACAATGGAGGAATACAAAGCCAAGTACGCTATCCATGAGGCGTGTCGAGAAGGCCAAGGTCTGCGCAATAATCATCCGCCCAGGCGAGCCATGGTCTTCTAACCAGTGCCAGCATCCCGCGTCGACTCTCTGCTCGCGGCCAACCCCAAGCTTGCATCACTCCGCGACCCGGACGACCGTCTTCCCATTCACTGGGCCGTCTCGTACAACCACCTCGCCATCGTGCAGTCCCTTGTGCAGACAAAGTCATTCGATCCCGACGCCACCGATGGCTCCGGCTGGACTCCCTTGATGATGGCGTGCTCACGGAAAGACGCCGAACAAATCGTAGACCTGCTGCTCTCCAAGGACGCCGACGTCAATGCGAAGAATAACAATGGTCAGACTGCATTGCACTTTTGCGCCTCAAAAGCCAACCTCGACATTGCCCGTACATTGCTGGCACAAAAGCCCCCAGCATCGGCACGAGTCAAGGACAAACGTGGGCAGCTACCACTACATCGCGCTGCAGCAGTGGGCAGTGTACCCATGATGAAGGCACTTGTAGACGCCAAAAGCCCTCTCAATGCCACCGACGTCGATGGCATGACGCCGCTGCATCATGCCATGAGCGAGGGACACGGAGATGCAGCACTGCTACTCTTGACTCTGGGTGCCGAGTTCGACAAGCAGGACAATGACGGCCATGTCCCTCTGGATCTAGCGCCAGATGCAAAGACGAGGAGTTTTGTTTTGCAGGCGGCAGAGAGGGAGGGCATTGATCTCGTCTAGTAGGAGTGGCATGCCCACGTGGATATAGTAGCATCTCGTTTGCGGAGTTTACAAGATACCCGGGTAAAGCGTTGTAGAGAATGCTAGGAGAGATTGGCGGAAGCCCCACTAGTAACCTCCTTCATCTCCTACTAGTACTCCTCCCCCCACCTGTTCTGTACATCGGCCCTAATATTGCGCCATAATCTTTTTACTAGCCTGCACCCAATGCTACTTGGATTTCTCTAGCGCGTTGAGCACAGATACAGGCAGACTGTAGATTAAAGCCATGGCCAAGTGTGCGACAAACGACTATATGAGATGGACATCATGATCGTGGATCGGCACAGTTCCACTTTGTGTCCTTGTGACTGGTGCCTGCGATGTTGAAAGGCGACCCGCCATCATGGTACCCGTCCTTCATCCATCACGGTCTTCACTAGCTCGGTATATAGCCATGTCACGATCAATTTATCAATCAACTGTTTGCTTTATTCACCATCTCAAGACTGTACAAAAGCCGTTGGTACCTACAGCGCTGTTACCCTCGATACATTTAGTACAGTCGCGCGCTTGGCCGCCATCATCTCCCCAGCCTAATTACAATCTCAATCACTCTCACCCTAACGCACACAGTCATAACACTGCTCAGGTTTGAGCCTTTCATTATCATGATATACTTTTCAGACGCATCAGTATACCAAAACTTCCTCATCTCGCCACGGATACCCCCGGAAATTGTTCTCCAAACACTCCAACACATTCCATTCGGAAACGGAGCCCTGATGTCTGCTCTGCGCAATGCGCATCCACGGCTCCGCACACTATTCAGCACATACGAACAATCACTTACGCGCTGCTTTATGCAAAAGGAGCTTTGCCACGCGGAAACAGATTTTCCATGTAAAAGCGACTTCAGCATCGACTGGCTGGCCGAGTGTGTTCGAAACTACGATATTATAGACGACGTCATGGATGCTCTCTGCTCCGACCACAACTTCAACGCAATCATGCCACACAATACGTTTCTAGCCTACACTGGTTTAATACTCATACACAGGATATCGTTGCTCGGTTAGTCATTGCTGTCCCTTTTGTAAAGCAAGTTTTTTGCACATATGATTGACGCGGGAGGCTTTAGAAAAGCACGAAGATGACGGACAGTGTTATATTGAGTCGTTGCATAGAGATGCGTTGATCGCCATCTACCTTGTACTCCACCACTCGACACTCGCAGCGCGGTACCACGGCTCTGGCTGGATCAACCAGCGCACATATGGGTCCGTCATGCAAGCAGAGCACTTCGAACTGCGCAACGCGCTGGAATTCTGCTTTGCAGAAGCTGCACTGAGTATCGGCCCGGAATTCGTTTCTGATACGCTGCTATATCATGACCGATCGGATTGCGAGACAACGTTGCTCAATTTTTATCACGACTACGGGATTCGTGAGGGGGAAGGGGTGTGTTTGAATGTAAAGGGTCGGGTTGAGGCACCGAGGACGCAGGGACCAAGGCGGGAAAGGGATAGGAAGGAGAGAAGCTTGTTTACGACGTTGCTCAAGTGTTTGGCGGAACGGATGCAGTGCGAAGTGCGTCATGTGAGGGAAAGGGTGGAGTGTGAGCTTGAGAAGACGCATCATCCCTTGGCGAATCTGACGCTAGGCGGCAAGGAGTGGTTGCTGAAAGGCAAGGATTTGGATCAGAGATGAATGTTAGAAAGAGTGAGGGTGGACACGGGTTTCGGGGATCAGGAATGGTTCCTTCTTGTTTTCAAGTGTCGATATTACACGAGTCCTGGTTGTACTAAAACATGGTAGCTAAGAAACATCTGCATAAACATCTGTTCTTCGTGTCATGGGCACATCTTTGCGCAGATTCTCAACGTAATCAAGGTCCAGCTCTGCAACGGCAATCTCACCTTCGTCGGCCCATTTCCCATCTTCGCCCTCATCGCCTCCGAGTTGAGCAACGATTTTGCCCCAAGGATCCACAATCATGCTGTGTCCATAACTCCGCCTCTTGCCCTGGTCATCGTGTACTCCAACCTGGGCAGCAGCGATGACATAGCTCTGCGTCTCAATGGCACGAGCACGCAGCAGTATTTCCCAGTGACCGGCCTTACCCGTTGGGGTGGTAAAAGCGGCAGGGTACAAGAGCACCTGGGCGCCTCGCTTCCTGAGGGCAAGCGCAGGCTCGGGAAAGCGTAGGTCAAAACATATCTGCATGCCTATCCTGCCCACGGGGCTGTCGAAGGGATGGCCAAGATCAAGGCCGCGTTCGACGCCATCCGACTCCTTCATCTGGGGGCCATCCTTGACATCCATGTCGAACAAATGTAGTTTCTGGTAGCGCTGGGCAATTTCTCCCTGAGGAGTGATCCAGATGAGGGTATTCTTCACTTTTTGCGCATCAGAGGAGACGGGTTCGTGGATACCGACAGAGATGGCGAGATTGTATTGTTTTGCGCAATCTTGCAGGCCGATGACAAATTCAGAGGTTGTGACTGGCTTGCAGAGTTGGAGGCCGCCGGAAGTGGTGATGTAGTCTGCTGCCTAAGAGAAAAAGAAAAAAGGTTGGCTTTGTGAAGTGGGTAGATGAAGAGAATGGAGCAGGGAGCTTACCTCTGGGAGGAAGAGGGCTTTTGCGCCGGCTTGGTGGGCTTTGCGGCAGAGGGATTGGGCTTGAGTCAGATTAGAGGCCATGGAGGCCGTGGAACGCATTTGGCCGACTGCCTAGGGAATGGTTAGGGCATGGGCTTGTCATTGTAGACGGCAACAATAAGGGCAACTTACTGCGCGTACCATTTTGAGAGATATGGGCATGGGGTTGAGGAGGAGTTGGTGTGTAGAAGAGCAGCAAGCGGGACTTGTAGCAAGGACATAGGCAAAAGCAATAGGACAGGGCCGCCCTGACGTTATCAAAGACGGCAGAAGCGATAGATGAGTTCCGATAGAGGAACTAGGCCAATTGGAGCAAGCATCGTGGAAATGGTGACAATCTTGGGGGGGTTGGGTCAAAAAGCACAAGTAGAGCGGGAGGGTATGGAGTAAGTAGGCGATGCCAAGCCGAGGGTGTTAGTGTGTAGTATTACTAGTAGCTGGGTACATGGCATATTATGGAGTAGTACCCGAGATTGACGAAGGACATTGCCGAGACTAGACAGCGGCAAAGATACTGTGTATACATGTAGTACTGTATACATGTCCCTGTGCAATCCACACACCCCATGCCGTCACTCGCAGACCAAGACGGAGGACGGCATTGAGTGGGTGAGAGGCGGGCGGAAGGCGGGCCAATCGGCGTGTGATTGGCCCCCGGCGCTGCACTATGATGACGACCCCGTCAGCAAAGGCTCACAGACACGAATCACGACGGCGCCCGTTAGCTGTCCATATGTTTATTTGAATACAGTCGAATCCATACAGCATACACATATACATATACGTACACACGGACGAACAATTGCAGCCGACGCAGCATCCAGCATTCGCGCCCATTGCTGCGTCCAACACCTGCCAGCCCATGTCTTAGCGGCGCATTCCCCGTATCACCACCACTGCCACCATCATCCGAACAGCCTGGCCTCTTCGCGTACTTGAGCAATGCACCTCCACGGGCAAAGGACGAGCGCACGGTGAAGGCTAGCAACGCTTTCCCTACGTCACGACCCGCGCTGCCATTCCACGTGCAAACCAACCGAAAAAGTAAAAAACCCACCAATATGAGCGGCAAGGGCTGGTGGAACAACGCCCTCTCTGGCCTCGAGTCGCGGCTCGACACCATTCTGGCTGAAGATGGCTCTACGGGCCCAAAGCCAGCAGCGACAGACGGCGCAGCCAAAGCCGACGGCACAGACAAAGCGGCGGCGGCCGTGGACAAGAAGCTGGGGGTAGAAGCTGGTGGGTAGCCCCAGAAGCCCAAGGTAGCAGCAAGCTCCGTGGATGCTAATGGCCCAGAAGTCTCGCGGAACCCGTCACGAAGCAGACCAAACTCCCGACTTCAGGATCGCCTCGCCAAAGCCGTCAACAAGGCAAGTGACCGCTCCGACTCACGCCCCTCGTCCGATCTTGGCTCCCGCCCAGAGAGCCCTGCGTTGCGCACTTCATTCCCACCTGCCGACACATCACGCACAAGCATAGATTCAAAGGCTTCAGAGCCCATCGCCCCTACTTCACTGCCAGAGCAGCATGGCACCTCCAAGACGGACGATACAACGGTCCCCGAACCACCACAGCCCGTTGGAGAAGCAACTGCGCCCATTAAGTCTGGCCCAGACACGTCGTCGTCGCCGCCGCCAGTTGCGTCCGTGATAGTAGACCAGCCAGCCTCAACGCCCGTCCCCACCATGTCCATGCCATCCATACCCGCCATCGTTACCCCGCAGACGTCCTCGCCCCGCCAGTCCTTGGACAGCATCTCTTCACGGCCTTCAATCGACACAACCCCCCCAGCCCCGCCTACCGAGCCCAGGGATGCCGACCAAATCCAAGCAGAGTTGTCTCTCTTGCAAAGTACTTACGACGAGACTATGCGTGACAACCGCGAAGAAATCAATGCACATCTCGAACGCATCGATGCACTGCAGTCAAAACTGACCTATCTTTCAGAGCAGCTTGCTGCATCTGCAAAGTCCGCCTCGTCGGACAAAGACGCGACGCCCACGGACAAGAAGTTGGCAGAGAAAGATGCGCAGATTGCTGCCCTCATGGAAGAGGGCCAGAAGCTGTCCAAGACGGAGATGAAGCACATGACTACCATCAAGAAAATGCGCGCCAAGTCTCAGGAGCAGGAAAAGGAGATTACCATGCTGAAGCAGCGATTGACAAAGGCTGAGAAGAGCATCACTGAGCAGTCGGAAAGAGCACGTCGCGCCGAAGCCGCTGAAAAGGCTTCACAGGAAAAGCTGAAGATTGTTGGCAAGATTGAAAAGGACATTGAGACCATCAGAGCAGAACGCGAAGAAGCGGGAATGACAATATCTGAACTGCGCAAGCAACTCAATGACGCCCTGTCGCGCGCAGAGGATGCCGAGAAGAGAGTGCAATCCGGCGCACTAGAAGCAGAAAAGAGGGCGACGAGATCTTTGCAGGAGGATATCGAAAATCTGCGGATAGAGAAGAAGCTGGCAGAAGATCGTGCCAAGAAAGAACTTCAAGCTGCCAGGGATGAAGCCAAAAGCCAACAGGAAAAGGCACAGATCACTGAGCTGGAGCTGCGTGGTGAGATTGCGGTAAGTCAAGTCGAAGGCTGCATGCAGATGCATACTAACGCACCATCCAGAATCTTGAGTCCAAACTGGAACTTCTTCGCAGCAGGACCGAAGAGGTTACTTCATCCGCCACTGGTGACTCTCAGGCCAAGCTTCTCCGACAGATCGAAACCTTGCAAACACAGTACTCGCTTGCTTCTGAAAACTGGCAAGGTATTGAGACAACCCTGACCTCTCGTGTTGCCGCGCTCGAAAAAGACCGTGATGAGACGGCGAAGCGCGAGTCCGAGGTCAGACGCAAAGCGAGAGAAGCCAACTCAAAAGCACGTCGACTGGAAGACGAGCTTGAAAGTCTCAACGAGCGCGCTCGTACTCTTGAGCATGACTTGAACGAGCAACGTACCGCGGCTCAAAAGCTACAAGTCAAGCTTGCCCAAGCAGAAACTGCTGCCCAAGATGCGCGCGCCGATTTGGATAAAGAGAAGAAGATTTGGGAGGCCGAGTTGCAACAACGAATCGAAGAAGAAAAGAGCAAATGGAAGGCAGAATCACAAACACCATCTTTAGCTGGTGACAGTCTCTTCCCGCGAACGGACCCGCCTTCGGTGGCGCAACGAAGACACTCGCCAGACCCGTTAGGCATCTACACCCGAAGACCCAATCCGCGGGCCACTTCAAGCGGCATGGACACCGCCCTTTCACCCATAGAACGCATGTTCGATGATGTCTCGCGCCGTCCATCCAGCTCACGGCAGGCCAAGTCCACGTCAAGAGTTCGCACGCCTGAAATCGGAACTCCCCAAAGACAAGACTCGATACCCTATAGCATGGCCAGTCTCAATGGTCTAACTGCACCACCGCTCGAAACCCCTTCAATTCACACACTCGACCCAGAAAACATGGACACCTTTGACACTGCATCTTCGCCACATCGCACCATTGCCGACATGGTCAGCGTGTCCACCATGGGCGCCGGCCCCTCTGTCCAACTTGTCGAGCGCATGAGCGCCGCCGTGCGCCGTCTGGAATCCGAAAAGGCAACGCACAAGGAAGAAGTCGTGCGTCTGACTGCCCAGCGCGACGAGGCGCGCAACGAAGTCGTCAAGCTCATGCGTGAGGTAGACGAGGCCAAGAAACAAGGGGAAAAAGTGACCGACTTGGAAAAACGACTGTCTGAGATGGAGAATAGGGAAGGCACCGCCTTGGAGATGCTGGGTGAGAAGACGGAGAGGGTAGAGGAGCTCGAGGGCGATGTACGCGAGTTGAAGCGAATGTATCGTGAGTTGGTAGACACAATGAAATAGAGATGAAATGAATGAACAAATGATTGGATCATCTTGTTACAGCTTGCGTCTTCTTGATTGCAACAATGTATATGTGACCTCTGGATAAATGCAAGGACACTTTACCAAAGCCATCCATGCACGACTACAAACGTGTTTTTTTTCCTTTCTTCCTTCTCATTTCTCTCTCTTCTTCTATACAGATTTAGCATAGTTAGATAAAGTAGGATATTCTAATTATCAAACAATCAACACTTCTTTTAGTAGCGAAAGATTTTCTACTAAAGACATAGCTCTGCGTATGTAGGTACTTGGATTTTGAAATAAATATATAACTAGTCTTTCTGTTGGAATCAATTAGGACTCGACTTTGAGTCCTACTGATCCGCGACACTGATTGGTCGACACGAGCACTGGCAAAGGCGTCGTCACCGCCTATTGGCCCGTGCGCGGAGGTACTGTAGATACTCAACACGATAACAGATACAATCAATCAATCCGCTTCCTCA